AATTATGATGGATGTTAGTTTCCTTTTTCAGATGGTATGTATTCCTGTATCTTGTGGCCATTTGCCCTCAGCAGCTTGCAGGCTGGGTATGTGAATTGGTAGCTGCAGAGCATGGCCGATCTGTTAATAGGTGGAATTTGATGCTCATAAAAAATGAATGCATTTAATATTGCATGGCAATGGTTTGCTTGAATGTTGAAGTTGCCTCAGGATCTCTTACTTGGAATGCTGTGGCTCAGGCTGTATTTATTACAAAAGCAATACAAATAGCGAGGCCCTGTGGTTCCAGAGGGTTGGCTACTCTTTTGTCTGTGAGTATCACTTACACTTTTTCCATATCAAATGTTATTCCAAGGAAGCTGTGAAAATGTGAACTGCAATGATATCTGAAAACAAAGCATTGCAGCCCAAATTCACTGTGTCCACAGGAATATCTGTCTTTGAAGATCTGTCCAGATATTATTTTTCAGGAAAAGCTGAGTTTTAGTAGACAATTTTTCATTATTAGGCTTTCATAGAGGGATGTAGAGGACTAAAAGGATTTGGTGGGTCATTAAAATGAGTACAGAACTGCCACTGTGGGGTTTTAAACATGAGATGAAATCCTGGCCCCTCTGAAGAGGCCTTATTTGCTTCCTTTGGGCCCCTTTGGGCTAATTTCATTACTGATTGCAGGGAGGTAAGGACTTTTCCCAATTTTATGGTATTTCTTTAAGCATGAAGACATGGGCATATTCCAGTTCTTTTGCTGAGAGTTTTATTAAAGGAAGCTCACAAAACGTGCACCCCTTCTATGGGAGAACATTTGTGTTGTAAATGTCATGTTTTCAAGCACATGAGGTTGTGATGATCCCTCAGATACTCAGAGGCGGCTCTATGAGAACATTTCTTGCTTTTCCCTTTAGCTCTGTGAGACAAATACCTCAGCTATTCATCACTTACGCAAGCCTGGCTGAAGAGGCACTAACAAATACGCAGGGAGAATATTGTGATACACACTATAAAGTTGTGCCTAGTAGAAAGGAAAATCAAGGCTCAAATGATCTTTTTCCTTGAGGTTTCTGTGGTTTATTTTATTTTCTTTCTTTGCTTGAAAGGCATCCGGCAATGTATTCGAGCAAAGCAGCTGCTTTTCTTCTGGAGGTTTGGTCTCAAATAATGTCCAGGGTTCTTGGGAATCTCATGTCAGTGAATTCAGTGGCAGCTGAAGGTATTTGGCATCTTTTGGTATCAGTCAGTCTCTGGGGCTGTGGAAGGCAGCATTGCACTGTGGATGCTTTGGCCAGGCCACTGCAACCACCAGCTCCCTATCAGAGAGCTCTGGGGTTCTTTGCTTGGGCTCAGTGCAGCACACAGCTCTGCACACAGCAGCTCATGTGGCTCAAGGGTGAAGGAATGGGAAGTTGTGTAGGGCTGAAAATGACCTCAAGAAAATCCCCCTTTCCTCCTCAGCCCCTGACCACAGATTGAAGTTATCTGGACTGTCCCGTTTCCTTGGTGTAGGACGGATTCTCACTTCAGCTTGTCTGAGACCAGGTCCACAAGGCCTGGGAAGAGCAACACCAGTCAGTTAGAATGGCCATATAATTTTCATTGCCATAATAAAGACTAATGTAAAATAAAATTAATTATTTTAAGTTTTAAGGACAGGAATTGATCTCAGCTAAGCAACCCAGTCTGTTTTACTTCCCTACTTGATACAACAAACATTTATCTATGCAGAGAGGTTTTCTAGTATAGAAATGTTAAGAGGCCATGGGAGTTAGACACTTGCTTTTTGACTGTGTTCCCTCCCTCGGTTGATGGCTGAAGAGGCTGATGGCCAGCTTCCAGTCACACAGTTATTTTGCTAGCTCACATGATAACTGTGCTGAAGATCCTGCTGTTGCCTGAGAAATCTCTTTGCTGAAGAGGAATTCTGCTGAAATCTTTGTGGAATGAGTTGAGGCAATACTCTGGTTTCCTCTCCATGCTGGGGAAATACCCAGTCTCAGGGGACAAATCCTCGAACCAGCAGCAAGTTTGTGCCTATCCTACATGGGACAGAAATCTTACAGAGCTCAAAGCAGCTCCACAGCTTGGCCACAGCTACTTCCTTTGCAGTGAGACACTCACTGGCTTACAGCTGCCTGCAGGTGCAATAGATTTGCTGTCCCATGGATACTTATGTGTAGCACCTTGCTGCAAGGCTGCCTGTGTATCTCCTGTCCTGTTCCTCTAAGTCACTCTGTGATGAGCAGGGCCTGGTTCTATCTGTTCTCCATCTGTCTCTCTGTCATCTTCACTATTGTTAACATCTGGTTGAAAGATTGCCTCTTAGCACAGTGCTGATGGGATCTTTCCACAGAGGATTAAGACTGGATTGGATTGACAGGAGACAGTATCCTTGTTGTGGGAAGTTTGCCAGTTGTGTGTGGGCTCAGTGCTGCTGCTCTTCCAGTTACTTCAGTTCATGTCAGGACATAAGCAAGGGTCAGTTGCACGTCCATGCTCCCTTACTGGGACCTGCTGGCCAGATGTGTCCTGGTGCACTGCGTGCTGGGGTTGGGAGAGGCCTTCTGCACCCAGCTGCTGCACAAGGCCTTTGTTGGGACTTTCTGTCTCTCCATCAGCTGCACCATCCCACAGAGGTGGTTTCATCCCTGGCTCCTCAGGTGTGTTCCACTGTGCAGTCACAGTGTGTTCATGGAGGATGTGGATGATGAGAACAGCTTTAGGGGGGTGATGGCAGGAGAAGTTGAGATGTTGTTTCTTGCTGTACCATGCTCCCTAGGTGGCTAATGTGTCTGTAAATCACACAAATGCTTTCCGGTAGCTCTGCTTTCTGTTACTGCTTCAGCTGCCAGGATGTCATGGCATTCAGATCTTAGATTTTGGCAAAAGCACGGCCTCCTTCCTTGTAAAGGTACTTAGTATTTCCAGTGCCCTGAAGCATAGCTGAGGGCTGTGGTAAGCTCACTGAAGCCAGGTCCTGAGAGGTGATATTTCTTTCTGCTTTATTTGGGTTGCTTTCCTGTGGAGTGTGTATTCTTTCCTGTACATGCATGGGGAGCAGGGAAGAATCCCTTGGCATTTCAGAAGGTAGGAGCGTCCTCTTGCTTTGTTGGTCTGCTGATCTGCAACTAAGTCCTGGGGGACCCTCCTTGCTCTTTCCCAAAGGTGATGTGTCCTGCAGTAACCAAAAGGCATCTGTTACCTTGTGAGGACAGTCTGGGGCCTGGAGACACATTTATTCCTTGCTGTCAGTAGCACAGGTCATGACTCTCTTGTTCCATAGTTAGGACAGACTGGCAGAAACTTTCTGTGCTTTGAATCTATAGCACATTCTTCCATGTGTGGTGATGCTTCAGCTACAGCTGTTCTCTCAGACTAAAGGAAAACCTTTATATTTAATCCATCTCAGACTTTAAGTCTCAAAGATAGCCCAGTAAAGCCAGCAGAGTTTGCACCAAAGGGCTCAGTTTTGGGGGCCTCTTGGAGGGGATGTTAAAAGATGTCCACAGGGTTTAGAAGCATTGTTGGCTTTATTTATTTATTTAGGTATGAGAATCCCAGTGGCTGGTATTCCCATGTCCCTTTAAGCCATTTGAGATAACATTTCTTTTGTTTCTTTCATTAAAACTTATTTTTATCCTGGCTTATGGGACTGTAAAAGTCAAAATTAAAACACTGCTGGTATTTCCTTGCCCATCCTATCTGTTCATCACCCCCAGCTCCTTTCAGCTCTCCCCAGCTCTCCCCCCTTCCCTCCCCAGCTTGCCTTGAAGGGCTGGGAAAGCCGGCGCTGGCGCATTGTGTCTCCTGTCTGATTGTTGTGGGGTTGTGTTTGTGTGGGGAAGGTCACGAGACAAAAAGACCACCAGGCAGGGCTGGGCGGGGGGTTTTGGTCCCTCTCCATTCAGTCCTTGTGGCCATGGGTGGGAAGAGTCTTGTTTGCATGACAGGATTTCAGGGGGCCATTGCTTTTTGTTTAGGTTTCTTCCACAGCTGCTGCATGGGCTACAACAAAAGTAGAGCATATCTATGAGGTTCATGGGCTGAAGCGTGCTGAGATAACCAAGAGGCAGAGCTGTCGGTGCAGGAGTGACTGAGCCAGAGCCAGCCACTGCATGCTGGCACCCTGGACAGTGTCACCAATAGCTCTGGGTGGGGTATTTGTGCTCTGTTCAGTCTTTGCTCTGGTGGCTGAATCCTGTGGGCTAATACCCTTAGCTGGATGAATGCTGTGGAAGTTTGCTGTCCCTGGAATGAAGGCTGTAATGCGGGAGGACAGCTCCACAGATGTCTCATGGCTGTGCTTCCCTGAATGTTTTTGAGACTTATGTTTGTAGCATCTGGCTCCTCCTTTGCCCATCAGCTCCACACCTCTGAGACCGTTCTTGCATTTAAACAGTGCTTACTTCCTGCTGTCCCTTAGTGCAGCTCTCCCCTCACCCCCCATCCTTAGTGAGCAGCTCAGTCTATATTTACTACTGGTGTGCACAAAGGCAAACATTGTCAGGGACTCATTGTAACTGTCCCAATTACCCTGAGTTCATTTGCATAAGAAGATTGAGCAGCCTGTGGCAGTGGGTTTGCCTCGGCTGCCTGATAGGGGACACATAGATTTGGGGAGCAAGAAAGAACGAGAGTTCCCAGGCTGGGTGTGGGATGGGGGGTGTGACAGTTTGGGTTCCTAACAGCATGGGTGCTCCAGGAGCCCAGGCTGGAAGGATGACTTGTCAGCTTCCAGCATTGGCAGCACAAGGCTGTCTGATACAGTTGTAAGAGCTGCCAGTTTCCTAGGGATGCAGGTTCAAGAAAGCCCAAGCATACCTGAGCTCCTGCTGTCTCATCAGAGTAAATCCTTCTCCTGTATTGTGTGTATGTGTGCATTTATGTCTTTATTTTTAGTAGGTGTTGACCCTGCTTGAATGCTTTTAGACTAAGCATTGACCTGCCTTGTGTTGTCACTTTCCTCAGGCACATGTAACCTCTCCTTGTGTTTTAATTTCTTCCAGAGAGATAGCTGTTCCTGCAGGCAGGCACTAAAGGCAGAGAAAAGCAGCTGGAATGAAGCACAAGTCAGGAAGCAGGCTGAAATGGTATGATCTCTTGACCCAAAGCAATAGCTGATGTTGTTAGGGTGTGCTCACCCTGCAGCAGCTGCAGAGCTTGCACTCCTTTCACTGGATTGAGAATTATTCATACTCTATTTCCCTTCCCCCCAGTGCCATATGTAACATCATCTGCTTGTGCCCAGGCAGATGGAAAAGCAAGACAGTATTCTCTTTGCAGTAATGGTTCTTCATGGGCTCAACTGGCCTGGGAAGTTGCGACGTTAAAGCTTTTCTGCTCTGGCAAACCCTTATGCTCCCTTTGCTGCTGCTGTGTGGCTGTGCATGTCTGCACAAAGGCACCTTCAGCTTGCTGCTGCTTCTAGGAAAGACTCTTACACTTGGACATCTTTTCTTGTTTGTGGGTATCACCAAGCTTGGTGTACTTCTTGGAGGTGCTTTGACTTGTTTTCTCTTAAACCCTGGTTAAAAATCTTCACTCTAATATTTGGCAATTAACAGTTTTCACTAGTAAGTTATTAGGTGGCAATACGTAATGCTTCGTGGTGGTGGGGATCACAGGAAGCTCATCTCAACTACATCAGCATTTTAGGCCCCTTGCATCCTTGGGTGAATTATTTTGCCTCTCCTAGTTCCTAAAGTGGGACTCTATGAGGTGGTACCACTGTGAATCATAAAGAGAACAAATTATCATTTAAAAAAGCACTATGTGCTAGAAACCTGATTGCTAATGACCTGATCCCAAATCCCTGCCCTATATTTTTGGACCTCTCTGAGGGGGATTGATGATCTGGCCCAGTTTTCTCAGGAATTACTTTGTTATTTCTCTGAAGGGGGAGGAGTAAATGGGAGAAATCCTCATGTCTTTTCTGCCGTGATTTGCTGCCTGTGCTCTGACTCCAGGACACTCATGTTTTTTGCCTGAAATTAACTGCATTGATTTGTTGTGTTTGCTTGGTGCAAGAAACATCCAAAATCAAGGGAGCAGAACAGTCTCAGGCTGAGGTACACATGGGCCCCTTGTAGTTCCTCTAGCAACACTATAGAAGCGAGCTGATATGTTTGACTTCCCTGATGAAAAGGGAAAGTAGGGTCAAGTCTTCAATTTAAATTTGTTTTCCTTTCCATGGTATTTGGTTTTGAGGGTTGTGTCCCACCTTCTACTGGCTTTCTATGACCTCTCATTTTAGCCTGTATGACTGTGGGGTCTATTTATGAGCAAGCAAAACATGACTACAGACACAATTAGCTTTTAAATGGTTGTTCCTGACAAATACGAACTAAAAGGCTATGATTTAAGGCCTTACATTATCCCTTTTGGAGTGAGTCACTGGACCTTTTTGCTTTGCAGTTGGGAAAATAGGATTGGCACAGGATCATGCTGGGGGTGACTGATGGATCTATGAAGATAACAGATACCTTGGCCTGTCTAAACCTGCACATCTAAAAGGGATGGGAGAGTATTCAGTTTTCAGCTCTGTCACTGAGTAGTATGATGTGTCCTTTCTAAATGCTTTATGTGCCCCAGTTGTGAATGGTGTGGAGGTGGGTGAATAATGACATGTATGGTTTTGTTTGCAGTTCCCCAAAGGACTGGGAAAAATGCTTTTTGTTTCTTCTTGAGCAAAATATTTGACTTGAGCTGAACCATATGAATATGAACATAAATGATAACTATTTACTGAAGCATTTTGAAAATGGTAATGTCCTGTGTTTTGGCCTTGTAGAATCTGAGGGAACTTCTTCTAAATCGTCAGTGTTCAAAACTAAAGCAAATTGTCAAGAAAGTCTTGGCATGACTGAAATCTCCATGTTTTTGCTTCGAAAAGATTTGTTTTGTAAAAAGTTCATCCTGTCTTTAGAAATGGGAAGAAAGGCTTGCAAATAGCACCAATAATAACCACTATTTCTGTGTCATACATACCCACTGTATCTTGTCCCATCTTTAGGGCAGTGTTACACTTGCATCTCCTGGGCTGCTGCTTGCAATTATCTTGGTGTTTCCATGTCACTAGCCCAGTTTTGCTACACCTCCCTTTGCTGGGGTGATGTGGCTTTTGGTAGCTGCTGTTGGATTTGCTCTGGGTTCATGAGAATTTGCTGGCTGGGAGCAAAGAAGGTGCCTGAAAGTGGAGGGATTATACAGGGGCAGACGATGGTAACACTGTCTGCTTCAGGCAGCTTTTCTGCTCCTGGATTAAAGTTCACGCTGTGTTACTTGTCTTTCTCTCTAAGGCCTTGTCAAGTCCATGTGGGAAGCTATTCTGCCTGCACTGTTTCACTTTGTGCTGCTCAGCTCTCTCTCTGCCTAATTTCTCCTCCCTCTCTCCCCTCCATTCAAGCGGCATCTTTCAGTCTTACCCATTCAGTCTGCCTTTGCTCTCTGCCCTGTGTACAACTGCCATGCCCTCCCCACCATTCATCACATCTTGCTCATTCACATCCCGCTTGCCTTTCCCCATTCAGCTGGGCTTCCTCTCAGCCAGGCTGGGCTGCTCTCTCCTCCTGCCCCTCCGCAGCCCTCCTTTTGTGCCTTTGCACTCCCCTCTCCGTGATCATCCGAAGCACAGCAGTCTGCAGTGTGCTCTGTGAGGATGCTCTCCTAGAGGTTGGCCCCACTGGACGGGCTGGTTAATCCCAGTGGAAGCCTGCTGGGATTCTTTGGGGTGAATTGGCCTCTCTAGCTAACCTGCAGGTGAGAAGATTTTCTTTCTCCCGCTCCCTTCCCACTTCCCAGAGATGTGGCATGACCCATGAATAGGAAGAATATTGCCATTTCCTAACCTTCCTTTTCAGTCTGGTCTTTCTGTCTCTCCTACTGGCTTGTTTCTCCTTTGCAGTGGTTTCAACTCTTAGGTGACTCTTCAGGAGGCTGTTTTGATTTCCTCATTCCTGAAGAGCATGACATGCATTCTGTAATTGTTCTGGCTCCCTTACTGTGGTTGTTAACTGTGCCTTCTCTGCTTCCTTCTTCTAATCATCTACAATGGGGTCATACCAGTTTTGGAAAGCCATCTGTGCACTTGTGTGTGTGTTTAAGGAAATAGAGCTTGTGAACTGTAGTAGCCAGGGTTTGTTTCTCAGTCTCAGTGCAGCCACAACCCCGTGTTTGTGATGCAGACATAGCAAATATGGACCACAGACTTCTGCCAAAGATCTCCCAGCCTGCTGCTCACTTGATCCCCTGCACCTGTGCCAGCAGCATGCAGACATCACCCCAGCCTTTTGAAGGAGCAGGTCTCCCTGCTGCAGTGTGGCAGGAAAACTAAGTGGGAGGTCTGCTTGCCTGTGGGTGCCCATGAGGGGGCTTCAGCTTGGAATGGTTAAACTGCATTCAAACCAGTCTGTTCAAGGAAAAGAGGAAATATTACAGCTTGGGACAGGCTTGTTAGAGGAAGCAGGAGCTCTCTAAAGCATGGGTGATCCCGGACACAAGAGAGAGCTGATCAGTAAAATAGGCAGAAATGAAGTGGAGGCACGGAAGTAGAGGGGCTCTGTGAGTGAGTGCAGGTTTGACTGCCAGGACAAGCTCTCTGCTGTGTGGGAGGCTGGAAAGCAGCATTGCTGCTGTCTCCTGAGGCAGTCAGGAGCCCTTGATATGGCTCAGGCAGGGCCAGGTTCTGTGAGGGCTTGTCAGTGCTGTGAAAATGACACTTTTCCCTGGTAAGACTCTTAAAGAGGGATTTCAAAGCATGCTGCGGTAGTTTGGTGTCAGGATGGCAAATGTTTTAAAGTGATTCCCTGTTCATTGTGTTTGGGCCCTACAGAGACATTACACCTTGCAGGAGGCCCTGCATTTTGTGATCTGCAAGAGTGATACGCGAGCAGTTGCATTCCTGTTGTGGAATCTTTATTAAGTCATGATTTGCTTTAAAACTTCAGACAGGTTTTGTGTCTGCTTGAAGTCTGTTGCAAAGAGAATAGAAACACTAGAAACACTGTGCCTTGCCTTGTGTTTGTACCTCGTGCCCAATAAGGGCATACAAGAAGTCAAAATGAAGCTCGATTTCTCCGTTTCATTGTTGTGCATCTTTGGCACTTGGACAAATCTCTTTTACCCTTAAACCAAAGTGTATTTGACACAGCAGACACTGTGAAAGTGGAAACGCTGCAGATCTTGTAGTCCTCCATACAGGGAACCTGCAGTCTGGGTGTCATCCAGGACTGATTTGGATGTATCTCCTAAGAAACAGTGGGAACTACCACAGGTTCCAGCAGTCTTTTTCCTTACTGCAGTTATAACCCTGGAAAGATGCAAGGGAGAATCTCTTGCTCTCAAGTGTTTAAATGACAGAGATGAGTAATAATTGCTACTCCCAGCTCTGGCTCCATTTGGAACCAGCTTCTCTGGAATACCTTTGAGATGGTTATGTCCTTGCAGTGTAATGCCAGGTGCCTACAAGGAGTTGCAAGGAATCATGTGATACCTCTGTCTCCTCTTCACAAGGCTGACATCTTCTGCTCCAGTTTAGCTTGGAAAGCAGAGAAGTTTCTTTGGTAGCTTCTAGTCCCCTTGACTGAGTAAAGCTGAATGTAAAATCAGTGTAAGTTAAATATGCTTCCCAGTCTGTTTAGTAGGAGTTTTGCTCTGTGGTGGTGGTTCTAACCAGAAGTGTAGTTTGAATTCCCACTATCGGGGGGTTATTCAGGTTATGTGTGTTACGGCAGTTGTTAGTTGGGGCTGTAAATGTGTATGCTTGGCTTAGATTTTAATGAGACCTTATAACTTGCAGTCAGGTCAGAAGGGAACTGCTGGGATCATGTGGTGTCTCATAATGAAGTCCGTAAGATTTTGTAAGTGGTTTTCTGCTTGACCTTGGCCATATCTCATTTCCCAGGAAAACCTGCAATATAGTTGTAAAGCTTCTGGTGAAGTTACTGAGACATTTCACTCGTTAACAGTAAAAATAATCAACTTATTCTAATCTGAAGCTGCTCAGCTTTGACCTCTAGCCTGCAGATGTGATTATACCTTTGTCATAGTGGAGAATCCTCTGCTGCCAAATTCCTGTTCCCTTTGTGGTTCC